GCCTTTGGGAGGCTGAGGTGAGTGAATTGCCTGAGCCCGCGGGTTCGAGACCCACCTGGGCAGGTGAGACCTCATCTCTACAATAAATCAAAAAATCAGCCGGGCGTGGTAGCGCGCGCCTGTAATTCCGGCTACTCGGAAGGCTGAGGCAGAAGGATCGCCGGAGCCCAGCAGGTCGAGGCTGCGGTGGCCGGGAGCGGCCACTACACTCCAGTCTGGGCGACAGAGTGAGACTCCGACTCAAAAAAAAAAAAAAAAATGTATTGTAGAGGTTAGGTTTCCCCAAGTAACCCAGGCTGGTTTTGAATCCCTGGGCTCAGGCAATCCTCTCACCTCCACCTCCCATAGTGTTGGGATTACAGGCGTGAACCACTGTGTCCGGCAATTTTTTTCTTATTATTAAAAATGTTTTAGCTGGGTTTGGTGGCACGTGCCTGTAGTTCTGGTTACTTGGAAGGCTGAGGCGGAAGGATCACTTGAGCCCAGCAGGGCGAGGCTAAGGTGGCCAGGAGTGTGCCACTGTACTCCAGTCTGGGCGACAGAGTGAGACTCCAACTCAAACAAACAAACAAAAAATTAGCCTGGTGTGGTGGCATGCACCTGTGCTTCCAGCAACTTGGAAGGCTGAGGCGGAAGGATCGCCTGAACCCGGCAGGAAAAGGTTGTAGTGACTATGAGCATGCTACTGAACTCAGGCCTGGGCAGCAGTGAGACTATAGCTCAAAAAAAAAAAAAAAAAGTTCATTTGTTTCCTGCGCATGTCTTCTTGGTAAATTTTCCTTGATGGATTACTTTCCTTCTTATACCCTTTTTTCTTCCTTATCTCTGTGGGCTTCAGTTACTCCCCCTTTCTGTTGGTTGCAGTTAACAAAGGTGGGTTTTCCTCATCTAAGGTACCAGCTCTGGGTTTCCTGCTGTCCCCTCTGAGTGTTGGGTTGCACGGTCCGACGCCTTGCAATCTCCCCACCTTCACCGGGGCCTTTTCTCTCCTTTGCCTGGGCGAGTCTGTCCTGCCCATTTGGGTTCTAGTAGAGCGGATTCTCTCTAGCCTCTTCTCTTCCTTTCCTCAGGGACCTAGTCTCAACTCCTGGGCTCAAGCGATCCTCCTGCCTCAGCCTCCCAAATAGCTGGGCCTACAGGCATGGGCCATCGTTCCTGGCTAGCCTGGAGACTATTGGCCATCCTTGACAATCCTTGGGTTGTAGACACATCACCCTAGCCTCTGTCTCTGTCCTCACGTGGTGTTCCCCTCTCTACCTGTCTCCACTGTCTGTGTCCAGGTCACCTTCTCCTTTCTTTTACAAAGTGCATGTAATATAGGAAAAACCAAAATGCCATTTTTCCTATTCTCTCACTCAACTGTCAACACTTCTGTGCTCCCAGATGTGTGTGGGTATACACACACACACACACACACACACACACACATACACACCCCACACCAGGCAGTTCTGCAGTGGACTGTTCTCCAGTCAATACCAGCTGGGTGTCCTCTACCTAGCTCCGACATCACCAGCCTGGGGGCAACATCAGGTCCCACTGGTTCAGTCCTACGGGCCGCCGTCCCCCAGATGCCAGTTGGGCTGTGGCCTGAGTTTTTGACAGTCCAACTATAAATCAGGGTTTCCATGGCCCCCTCCTCAGGACCAATTAATTTGCTGGAGCTGCTCATGGAACTCAAGGAGACACATTTACTGGTTTATTATAAAGGATACAGGGAAACCACAGCAGGAGAGACATGGTGAAGAATGGGGGAGCGGCAGGGCCCGAAGTCCTCCCTGTGCACCACCCTCCAAGAGCTGTCTGGTCAAGAGAGAGTCCCTGTCCTTCTGGGTGTGTGACGGCTTCATTACATAGGCAGGGCGGTTAAGTCATTGGCTATGGGCGGCCACCTTGATCTTCGGCCTCTCTGCCCTCCCCAGTGGGTGGGTGGGTAGGGACGGAGCTGAAGGTCCCAGCCCTCTCTCTGGTCCTGCCTGGATGAGACGCGGCCCCATCCAGAGGAGCGGTAAGAACCCAGGCCACATAAAAGCAACTCCTGCTCCGGAGAGGTCACGGTTTGAGGAGCTAGATGTCCCGAGACAGGGAGGAAGACCAAACAGATGTTCCTCAGGACCCACAATAGTCCAGTTTGACCTCATCCAATTCGATTACACTTACAGGGACCCTGTTTCCAAATAAGGTCACATTTGCCATTGACAGGGGTTGGACCCCAGCATTTCCTGTAGGAGAACACAGTCAACCCCAACAGCAGCTGCTGTTCATGGTGGATGTTGGTCACTCGCAACATGGCTACTGTGACTGAGAACTTGCATTTTATTTATTTTATTTTTATTTTTTGAGTTGAGGTCTCACTCTGTCACCCAGGCTAGAGAGCAGTGGCATAATCACGGCGCTCCACAGCCTC